ATAAAGAACAAATAAGAAACGTTTACCAATCTAACATGTTTCACTTTTATTAAAGCTTCATCAGAGAATGAAATATGGAGAAAAGGGGGAAAGAAATTTTGGTATTTTTACTTTTGTTTTGTCTGAATTTCATTGGTTAATCATGTTTCCCGTGTATTCGTCTTGTTAAACAAATGTTAGTATAATTTGTGGCGTTGCGAATTCAAGGAAAGAAGACGAGTTCATTCGAAGTCTCAAGAAATTAACGGATTCCATACCGAACTTTTAATGATGATTTTTATGTATACTTTGCTTTGTAAACATGCATACAAAATTGTCATATCTATCTATCTATCTATCTATCTATCTATCTATCTATCTATCTATCTATCTATCTATCTATAAGGGTGTTAACGTACAGCGTCCAGTAATGAAATAAAATTATTTATATGTATAGAAATACATCTACAGCGGATAACGAAGTCCTACCAGACATATAGTTTTCAAAAAATCTTGTTGTTGAAGCGCGTTTAATAAGAGAAGGGGCGCAAATCCCATCCATAGCAATTTGGGGTGGGGGCTTAAACGTGAATAAGTGAAACTGCAATTGGTGATTCCGCGGATTGTGAGATCATTGCAGTTATCGATTACGTAGATATTGAGGTTCCACACACACATACATATATGCACGCAAAACATGCGCACACACACACACACACACACACACACACACACACACACACACATATATATATATATATATATATATATATATATATATATATATATATATATATATATATAGTCCACAATACATATTAATATCTAAAGTCAGCCACGTTAACGCCCCATATCTATGCATATTTGCGTAAACGCATATACAGGGTGCGATATATAAATTGTCGTGGAAATTACGTAAAAATGAAAATAACACTGATATGTCATTTTTACAGAGATATTTACCAGAATTACACAAAAATACTAAAGAATAAATTTATTCAATAAAATCGGCATTGGCTTCAACCTCCAGACAAATTCGGAATCTCCTGCAACTCTTCTGGACGGTCTCCCCTTGTTTAATTAGTGA